ATAATACATCATATGGAATTTCATATCTTTGATTTCCGTGAAAGATGGCAAGTCTTCTCTGCAGATATGTGAGGTTGGTGCGTGTTGGGTGACAGTAATGATAGGGGATGTGACATCTTCGACTCCGAGCCTTTTGTTCGTTGACCACAAGACACGCTATGAAAGTTTACTGCAAAGACTCAAACTGCTCCTAGTTCAGTATGTTGTTCACCAGGCTGCTGCCTTATAATTTGGCCACTATGCGCGAGAAATGGGTCGAATACGCTATCAATGTCACGTTAATGGCTCTGACTCATCGGATGAAATGCCATACACAGGTATTGTCGAACACCACACTTTCAAGATGGCGTGCGTTTTCACACCTGACAACTTCAAACGTGCATTCTTGCTGATTTCAGCGTACCTGTGCAGCGCACGTGTTAGCAACGCCGAGATGACGAACGGGGCGCTGTATGCGGGGGAGTGCGGGCTCCGGGGTGGGTTTAAAGACACCATCCAAGGTTTCTCTCTATTAGACTTTAACATACTACCAGTGGATGACATTAATTCTCTCAGCCTTGATGCGGGGATATTCATCCTTGACTCTGTGTTGTACGGGCAAGTGTCGGAAACCAGTATACGGAATGAGACAGTAGCAGCCAACATCGGGTGTTACCCAAATGGAACGGGATGCACGAGCCTCCGCTTTCTAAACTCCACGGCGAACGCGTCGGACGCTGTCGTCGCTAACAACAGCCGGGCTATGGTGTTTACTGTATACAGTTACAGGTTTGACGTGTCTTGTGTGTTGAAAAACGAAGGAAACACAGGAAATCCAAAGATTCCAGCAGAAATACTTATAGGATCAACCTGCTCCTTAGACAGATATTTAAACAAACAAAGCAAGTGGATTGTTCTCGGTTCCTTGCGGTACGAGGAAGACACGAACGAGGCGCGTCCGTCCGGTTATCGGTTTAGACTGAGGGCAGCTTATGAGGCCAGCACGGACAATTTAAAGAAGACGGCCAACACCTGTGGGCACCGTGCCGAGCTACCAGCAGGGAAAGATCCCAAAGACATTGACCGATACTGCCCGAGCCTAAAGTACGTTGTTGCTGACAGAGGTTGTAGTGGCCAGTCCGCACTTACACCTGCAGGGGTGCGGGCGTACGCTGTTCTGGTGCTGACGGCGGTGTTTATTTCGGGGCGTTTAATTCCTAAAACTGTCTAAGTGTTTTTTAGTTTTAAATAATTGGATTGTTGATGTAAATAACATGTATTAGCCTCCCCCCCACCAAAAAAAAAAAAAAGTTTTTTTCCCCTTACATTCCATTTAAAGAATTGGCATATTTTAGCTTGTTATTTGGAAACATTAGTAACCGTATTCACTCGGTGCGTCATCCTAGGGAAGATTCATACATATAAACATGATACGTAGCTGTGACATAAAAGTGTTTGACACCTACTTTTTACATTGAGGATTAAAAAACGTTAATATAGCATTATAGAGAAAATATGTAGCTATAGACTTCAGACTAGTAGAAGACGCAGTCGGCGTATTTATGACACCAAGTACGTCTTTTATGGCGGCAGTAAACAGAGATAACTGTGTGTTAGAAGACGGCTTCATATTATCACAGGTGCTTGCGTCGTGTAAACTATGGACAAATGTGTCATGGCTTTTTATGGCGCCTTTTATTGTTATTTATATGAAATATCTTTTAACATTTGTGTTTTTTAGTTAACATCAGTCTACGGCATTCTGGTGCATGTCAGTTTTATTTAGTTGCTGTAAAATAGGTAGAATATTTTTCATTAAAATACCATTCTTCATTAAAATGACATTTCCCTCATTGAGACTTGCTATATAGTGCGACACAAATTTAAGACCAAATGTTTATTTTTGATTTGGAAAGTGATTGAAGACTGGGCTTTTCCAACAAAGTGGATGCTATTTATTATCCAAAAGAGTACATATGAACCCGTCTACAGATCATTCAAAATTGCAAAGGGGTGAATTGTTTCATTAAATTATTTATACACATCTGAGACATAACGAAGCCCTGATTTTAGTTTGCCTGTGGGTATTCATAGCCGTCGAAATTTCATAAATTGTTTATTAATGAATCAATGAATCGATCAATGAACTTATCAATCTATGAATCAATCAATCGAGATTGAAAATCAGCACTATTATATTAAAATTTGTTCTCAGCAAAAAAATCGTGGTTTCATAGAGCATTCAGTATTTGGGTTCGATCACTTGCCTCTTGTGGAAACAGGCTGAAAGAAGTCATGTGCATATACAGTATAAAATGTGCAAGGTACTTTATAATTATGAACCCTGTCTTCTGTTAACTTTACAGTGAGTAAAAGCAGCTCTTATCCGTCACGTCCTCAAATTACGATGGTCCAACTGTCACCGTAAAATGATGCTGAATTGACTTCCGGTGGTTCTTAAAATCCATGACATTTTCGCGGAGCTCAGATAATGCAAGGATGTACTTGGCTTATAGAAAGCAGCTTTCAATAATAATAAAAAAATTATAAAATAATAATAAAAATTAATAAAAAAGAATAAAAATATCTTTTAAAAGATATGTAATGTCATTAGACGCTTGACTTTGATAGTAACAGCCGTAGATTTACGACCACTTTCAACTTATCACAGCGTTTTAAAGAACAATACTTCAGCAATCTTGCGCGGCGGAGGACCGGTCATGTTCGATGGAAGGGCACCAGGGCCGTTTCTTTCCGCATTTCGTGACCTTTTCAACTTGTCATAGTACTTATCACGGATGATAGAAAGACAGTCTCTGTCTGGTGTAATGCATCCTGAATGGAAAGACTTGGCAACCTCTTGAATTATCCCGAATAACCCACTATTCCAGGCCTCAATGGCACGATAGAGGGCGTTGTTCGGCGACTGTTTGTAGACGGCGAGATTTCTAGCATAGTCTCTGAATTCCGTCTTCTCTTTCCTGGTAATCAAGCTTTCAACACAAAGGAGATGGACGAGGTCTTCCAAATTAAAGGGGCACAATTCCACCACTTGAGGCCCTGGTTTCCACTTTAAAACGGTCTTTATAAAGGTCCAAAATGATCTGCTAGTCCCCACTGAAAAATTCATCAAGTGTAGATAGGCAACTGATACAGATTTTATATAAACAAATAAACTGCTTACTAAATAGCTAAAAAAAAATAACAAAATGAATTCAAATATTTCATATCATTTATCAGATGTAAAAGAGACAACCAAAGAGTCTACGTGAATTTTAATGTTCAAAAGGAAGGTATTTCAATCAAATTTGCAGTTAATAATTCATGTGCACCATGAACTGCATATGTATTCTCACGATTGGAACAGAATGACTGCATTCAAAACCAAAATAGTTGATCCTCGGACTAACAGATCGGCGGATCAAGCATGGCCGATTCACTATAAAGCTTACCCATGTCAGTTCTGAATGCGACCAATGACTATAATTAGACCAACTTTATAATATCATTACCCATGCAACTGATCATTAAAATAGTGTGTCTAAGGCAACATTACCATCCTTTTTCTGGGTATTCTCGCTGACCGTGCGGCGCATCCTAAAAGAAAATGCCCTGTTAACTCCAAGACTTGGTTCGCTATTTTCTCGAGGGTGGTTCTCTTTGGTGGCACCACCATGCTTGTTTTTACCACCTAGAAAGAGAACAGGGAGGAAAATAATCGTGTTTTTTATTTTTTTTTTTTTCGCGTAGCCAAAGATCCTCATAGTTCACATCTCTGTCGTATTTTGTGACTGTGCAAGAACTGTAATACTACGCCCAACCCTAAAGCTATATTTACCTCCACCAAATTTGGGCCTTTGTTTGTTTGTATGCAGTCTACCTCAAAAAGTTACTGAAGGATTTTTGATGCATATTTTTCAGTCCGGTCCATTAATGGTCTCACATATATACTGGAATCAATTAGATTTGGTGGCAATCCGTTAATTAATAGATTAAACAATCAAATTTGATTAAAGATTAATTAATGGTGAGAATTGAGCTGCCCTGTTACATCTAAACTTATTCTCTTCATACTGTTAGCTCTACAGATACACAATATTTTATTTTCAAACAAAAACACCTGTTGACATTTGCTCTAACCTGGTTCGCCAAATGCGCCCTCTAGTGTGGTAGATTTCGTTTCAAAAGCATTGCTGTCCACTTGCTTTTCACGTTGTTTATCGTCAACAGCAAGACCTGATGTTGCTTTTGGGGTCACTTCAGTCGGCAATCTTCCCCTTACTTGTGGTGGTCCATTCGATACCGCCTTTATTGGTGTGGTCCCATTCAGTTCTGTACTAACTGGTGGTGTCCCATTCGATACCGTCTTTATTGGTGTGGTCCCATTCAGTTCTGTAATAACTGGTGGTGTCCCAGTCGGTCCCGTCTCAATTGGTGGCATGTCAGTCAATCTTGCTCTAACTGGTGTTGCCCTAGTCGGTTCTGTCTTAGCTGGTTGTGTCCCAGTCGATTTTGTACTAAATGGCTGTGTCCCACTCAGTCCCATCTTTACTCGTGGTGTCCCAGTCGGTTCTGCCTTAGCTGATTGTGTCAATTCTGTACTAAATGGTGGTGTCCCACTCAGTTCCGTATTTACTCGTGGTGTCCCAGTCGGTTCTGTCTTTAATGGTGGTGTCCCATTCAGTCCTATGTTTACTGGTGGTGTCCCAGTCGATTTTGTACAAAATGGTTGTGTCCCACTCAGTCCCGTTTTTACTGATGGTGTCGAAAACGATTCTGTACTAAATGGTGGTGTCCCAATCGACCTTCCCCAAGCTGCTGGTGTCTCAGTTGGTCCTGTCTTTGTTGATGGTGTTCTAATGTGTCCCGTTGTTACTGATGGTGTCCCAGTCAGTCCCGTCTTTGTTGATGGTGTTCTAATGTGTCCTGTCTTTACTGATGGTGTCCCAGTCAGTCCCGTCTTTGTTGATGGTGTTCTAATGTGTCCCGTATTTACTGATGGTGTCCCAGTATAATTGCCTCGTCTCACTTGTTTTGTTGGTGACTTCTTCCGATTCTGAATGCTTAGAGATTCTTCTAATTCAGACCAGGGAACATATGATCCGCTGTCGGTGAAACGACCCTCCCTTATGGCAGCTTCGGACTTAAAACTTCCGACGAGTTGGTGAATTTTGTCTGAAAGAAAAAAGGCTCAGTTTCTATATATAAACAAAGTTGTATCTTGCTGACTGTAGTATCCTTGGAAGACTAAGGCCGTTTCGAATTAAACGCTTGCCTGGGAACAGACTGCACGATGGGATGTTAATCAATTATTAGCTCTCTTGTTTATCAAAATATTACTAGAAACCTCGGCCCAACATACCTGCAGATGGTCCGTTATATTCAACACCGATGTATTCTTCAGAAATACATGATTTCTGAAAGAAAAATTCACAACAACTAGACTTACATCCATGAACAAAAATCACTTTAACCTTACATGTTTTGCAATTGATTGTTTCATAATAATTGTTAAAAAATTGTTTTGTTCATCGACAAAGAAGACTGCTTTAAGTAGAACTGTTTTCTACCTTTAAGAAGCTTCTCTCTTCTGTAGATTTACACGTTGTAAACTTACCTTGTTTTCTGAGACTACATGCTGCGTTCGTATGTGTTCCTGGTATTTTCCTGCAGTGACCCACGAGCAACAGTGCTCGCAAAACACCGGGGTCTTGGGGCACTGGAACCGTTTGTGATGTCGAATGTCATGTCTGCAATAGAGGTGAACAGGTCTTCTTCAAAAATGTTGCTGTATGCAGTGTACATGAGAATTGATCATGGGACTTTCACAAGGTAAGGGGGGTACAGTTTCGTGCCAATAAATAACTACCTTTCAGAACACAACATAAACTTAACTTGGATCAACACATATTTCTTAGAAGCATCAGATTATTGAGAAGCAAGTGCAGTCCACGTACCTTTCCACTCTGCTACTGCACGCTTGGCACGTGGTATACCTGGCAGAGCAAAGGGGCTCGTGGTTCTTGATACTCTTCCTCAGAATCGTCTCCCCAGAGATGCAGTGGTACGAGGCAAACTCACACCTCTCCACGTGCTCCACCAGCTCCCAGCGATGAAGGAGATCATGGGGACAGCCCAGAGACTTGTACGGACACGTGACCGTGGCAAACTTGCACACGGAGAGGTGTCTCTCCAACTGGCTGGGTAGGACCAGATCCTTGCATCCCGGGTTGGTGCAGACTACGGGGACGAAATCAGGACACTGCTGGCTGGCTTTGAAGGGCAGGTCATTCTCTTTGACTGGCTTGGCTTTGAAAAGCGACGTGATCCACTTCACCAAGCTCTTTCCTGCTTTACTCTCTCGTCTATTGCTCACTGGTGTCTGGTGCTGTGTTTTTAACGGGCATGTTTTGATATGTTCACGGAGAGTTGCTCTGGGTCCACTCTGGCTACACTGAGGGTGAGGGCATGAGATCGGCACGTGATCGCAAACACTCTCGTGGATAACCATCTCCCTGACAGTGCCGCTGAACACGCATGGTGGATAAGGGCACGTGACTTTGAGTTCCGCTACTTTGGAGTAGGACACCATTTTAATGCTTCTGGAAAGTTGGCTGGCGGCGCCGTGCTTCCTCATGTCGCTGCCTTGAGAAGTGTAATTTCGAAAATGAAGTAGATTTAAGAAGCAAATATGCATTCTTAACAGCATCATTGATTGCAATATAACAGTATTTATTTGATACCTATTTATCCACCAAATCAACAAAAATATCACACTTGAAAAATATTTAAATGTCTCAAGTTTAAAATATTTTTCTATCTTATGAATAATGTTTTAACACGCAAACAAAGGATAGAGAGGAGAAAGGCTGTACATTCAGACAAAAAAATGTCTGAATAGGTCAAAGGTCAAAATGGGCGATTTTTCAAAATCAGAATAGAGACCATAAAGCATACTGTATTTGAGTCTTCTTTTAATTATCCTGTTTAAATATTGAAACGTGGCAAGTGACTTTAAGCCAGTTTATCATAGAAAACCCACTATATTAAAAAGGCTGTTTTTAATTTCAGCAGAATTTAACGTGCTTATATGTTCATGTATCCAGACAAGGGCATTACAATACATAATCTGATCGTCTTATCAAGCCCAGAATCTCTTACATGTAGGGCCTAAATCAAGTACAGAAATCGGTTCGGCTTTGACAGACAATATTTTACGTTTTTACTGAGAAAAAAAACGCCTCGGCGATAAACACGTTCGTCATGCTGGTGCTTGTAATTCCCGGTTTTAACCGCAATAGCTCATCATGGCAGCTTATTCTAATGTGCAATTTAAGTGCCACAGAGAAATTACACAGTGACAATCAAACGGCTACTCCCCGGAGGTATGATGTAAAACTAAAACGCTTTTCACAAAAACTGACCCGAGCGCATACAAACTGATGAAATACAAATACAATGTCAAATTATCGGTCACAATTTTGTTTATCATACTTACAGATAGCACGTTTCACCGCGCTTCTCACGGCTCTCCTGGTCTGTCTCCATAGCAACGGACCTAAGAGACAAAATAACACACCCTTATCAATTCACTTCGACTTTAATATCATTATGACCTAGTTCATGTATCAAATTGATTGGGAGAGTTGTGTCCCTAATGCTGGGCGGATTTAGGGTCTCCCAAAAGACGGTCAGATTTTAAAGTTTACATTGATAGGTATCTAACTTTTTCTGTTGGAAGACGGTCAAAAATAGAGGATATATCAACAAAGATAATTTGGAAGACTGTCAGATAATACACCTGGACCCGCCAATGATAATGGGCTTATTGATAGGTCTATGCTCAAGGTGTTCTCTCTATACGTAAAAACCAAAACAATAGTGATATAACACAGGAGTATATGGGGGGGGGGGGGAGGGGGCGAAGGGCAGTTGACATGCATAGATAAGGAGCGCCACCATGCTTCTACCATTGTAGTCTCTCTCCTAAAATTCTGCAAACGTCATACCGTCTTTAATTTCTTAAATTAAGTCTTGGACATACTAACGATAATAATTCGTTATTATGTTCAAGATTAAGTACAAAACAGACCTCTCTAGAATTAGATGGAATTAAGATAAAAGTGCCGTCCTTTTGCATTATGGTAGGTTTTATGGTTGTCAGTAAAAGGGTGAAAATCTACATCTCGCTGTTTAGAACATACCTGTTTCATGTTACTTAAAATGAAGAGGGGCACAAAGCAACATGCGTACCTTTACTAGGCTTCCTCAAAAACCATACCAATCTCTGGACAGTACCAGTAGGGTCACGGTAAATGTTGCCTAGATCAGCTTGAAGTTTTTTCCAGTTTTCTGGAACTTTGCAGCGTTCCACTTGAATACTCTTCAGGTTTTTCAGGTTCCTAACGCACATAGCGTGCTGCAACAGGTTCAGGCACAATGGGTTTCCCCAAAAGTCGGGACTCAGGCAGAAGACGACTCTTTTGGCCTGCTCGATGGATGCGTGATTAAACTCGACGACCCACCCGCCGGGGACGCAGGCCCCGGAGTGGTTACATGTGAAGCCAAGTTTTTCCAGGACGTCAACGACGGGTGTAATCAGGTAGTCCTCCTCCTCGTGATGGGCGAAAAACACATGGTGACTGTGTTTCCTTAATTTCGGTGGTTTCACTTTTGGCGTGGACATCGTTCTTCCTCTCCCCTACAATGTAAGTGATAGGAAACGTAATATGTGGCACTGTTGTTTGTCACTCAATATGAGCCTATATAAATTGTCATGTGACAACCCTAAATTCATCCTGTCCTCCCACGGCATCAACGGCAAAGAAATGTTCCGAATTAAGGTGGCGTAGGGGTCATTTTGATATCCCAAGAAGAAACGAGGTCGGGGACTGGTTCCGAGGAGGATGAGGGTGAGATGGGA